GGACAGTGCAGCCCCCTTGTCCTTCTTAGCCAGGCGATGCACTTCACAGGGGATCTGGGGAATCTGTGCCTAGCCCTTACCCTGCCCACGTCTGTCTCGTGGCTGTCTCTCAACCAGTCACTGTGGCAGGTAACACTTCAGTCCTGGAGTGAAGCTGTAGTGTACTGCTCAGTACCACATGATCAACCTCTTCCCAAAATGGTGCCTAATTAAACTCTGGTAATATGGTGGACCCTGCTCTGGATTTCTTCTCCAGTGCTATCCCACCATGCAGAAGCCCTCTCAGGTAAAGCCCTGCACAGTTTTGGGGAGGGGGGTGTGATATTGGTTTATTTTAGTTTACTCCAGCGAAGGGCTGTTGGCGGGCTGTGCTATTACTGGTCCACCCAGTTTCTCCCTGAAGCAGCCGACCTCCCTGGCAGGCTTTGCCTGCAGAGTGGGGCCCTTCCTGGATCAGGTCACTTCCCCGCCAGCCGTCTGTGTGGCCCTGTGGTGAGGGCAGCCAAGGTACACAATCTGCCAGCATTTGAAGTTTGAAGCCTGCAGGGGGTGGGGGGGAACCGTACTGGTGAGCTCCTAACAGTTTTTCTGGCTCACCTGACAGATCCTTACCCAGTATCGCCCTGTGCCAGCCGGGAACAGTGCCAGCCTCCTGCACCTAGCTCGGAGGGTAAGGCAGGGAGCTGGAGAAACAAGGAGACCCCAGTCTAGTGGTAGAGGCAGCACTGAACTTACGAATATGCACACAGCTATGTAATGTCGCTGGTAGTCATTGCTGTAAATTGCCTTGGGAACACCGAATGAAAAGCATTTACCAGGGTCAGGGAAGACTTCTTGGGGAAGTGATAATTAAACTGAAAGCTGAGTACAATCTAATAAGGCGAAGAAGGCAAGGAAGAGGGAGTGCCTGGTCACGAGGCAAGGAACCTGCTAGTGAATGGGAGGGAGTGAAGGCGGCCTGTGGGGGTGGGGCTTCCCGGGCAAAAGCTGGAAGAGCAAGAGAGGGGCCTGCAGATGTGGCCAGAGGCAGTTAATGCCAGGTGTGTAGGCCTTGTCTTTGCACTGACATGCATCGCAGCTCTTACTTAATCTTTTATTTTGAAATAGGTCTTGCTGAATCACCCAGCCTGGGCTTGAGCTAGCAATCCCTCTGCCTCAGCCTCCAAGTGGTGGGATTATGGGTGGGTGCCACTATGCCCCAGTTCATTTATATTTATGACAGCTGAAATCCTGTTGTTAAAATGTCAAGGATGGACAAGCATGGTGGCACACACCTGTAATCTCAGTTATTAAAGCAGGTTGAAGCAGGATTACTAATGCGCAGAATTGGAGGCCACGCTGGGAAATAGCAAAATGCCACATTAAGGGGGGAAGAAGTTAGGGACGTCCTAGTATTCATATCTTGCTTCTACCCTTTTCCCCCCATTCCTTCATCCAGGGGAGGGCCAGAGTTGAAGGAACTCTGATTCCTGTTGGGGGTCAGGGAGGGGAGCTGGACATGTGCTGTACTTTCTTTTTCCCTCTGTTGTTTTGTTT